CCCCAAAACCCCAAAACCCCAAAACCCCATAGCTACTAAATCAAAATAAAATTCATGATGCATATTAATTTGTAAAGATAAAAATGTCATTTGTAAGTTAATATCTTTTAAAAGGAAAGACTCTTAAGAATTTGGCTCCAATAATCAGTCATATTACAAAGCAAACTTTAGAGAAGTCCGAGGCTAAAATTAATTAGTTGACATCAGGATTAAATTGGAATCATCCAGATCCTTTGTATTCTCTATAAGAGATAGATTCAGTTTCAAATGAATGCTGCAAGGTTATAGACTCTTCTTTAATTGTTTTCAAGAACTATTCTGAGTAATATCCAGAATTAAAAAATGCCTGTATTGACTCTATGAATAATATAAATGAGTTCTTTGGTGGCGATTATCTGAATAATAATAGAAAGCTTTTGAATCTATTACTCATGATTTAGACTAATCAGACAAAGTTTTCCCTGTTAGATGACCCAGATAAGTTTTTGTTGAAATCAGTAATCAAAGACTTGAATAATCAGCAGAGAATTTAGAATCCGTCACAAATTTAGTAGCTTTAAGCAAATGAGATGCTAATTTAGAATATCTCAAGGGAATTTAATAGGAATTTAAGCAAAGAATAGTATAAGTTAAAACTGACTTAAAATGAGTTAAAGAGCATTCCAAACAGATAATTATTCAATAAATACAAAGGACAGTTCAAGACTGAAAATGATGAGATTGAAATCAAGTTTGATCAGAAATATGAATTTGAGATTGCTAAATATTCTCCCATTCCTGAAGTTAGATAAAAATTCTTTCACGCCTTCTCAAATACTAATTCAACAAATACAAAGCTGATTATTAAGTTAGCTGAGCTCAGAAGGTAAATAGGTGTTAATATAAATAAAAGGTAGAGCTATTTTGATAATCAATAGAGATTGCAATCAATAAAATTAGCTAGACCATTATCCCAAGCCATTAGATAAATTTAGTAAATAATAAGACCTCAAGCATTGAAAGATCTTGAGACGATATAAAGAATAACTGGAGAACCAGATATTAGATATTTTGATATAGCCTTTTTGAAGGAAAAGATAAAAGCATTTATGCTTTCCAAAGACCCTGAAAATATTCAAATGCTAACCTGTTTTAACTTATAAAATACCATTAAAGGTCTTATGCTTTTTACTGCATAGATTTTTCAACAGTAAAATTTATAGCTAAACACTCTAATATATAATGCGGACTCAGGTAAAACTGAAAAATTAAGAGGCTTCTAGTTATTCCAGAAGATTCTTAATGAACTTAAGCCAAATGAGATTCCTCTATTAGAAGTCATACTCGAGGACGGTGGTACTATATTACTAGATATTTTCTTTAGGCCTCATAAACTGCACAAAAATTAAACTTAAACACTTAATGAGCAAGGTTCTACATATTTAGAGTAAGATCAAAGACCTGTTGCCTATCTTGTTGATAATTTGTTGCCAAGGGATACCACATATCTAAGTTTTGATCAAGTTAAGAATTTGTTTCATGAATATGGACATGCATTGAACATTGGCTTATCCAAGACTAAGTATTAGTACTACAGTTGTGCTAGATCAACTATGGACCTGGTTGAAATACCTTCTCATCTGACTGAGCAGTTTCTTGAAAACTATGATTTCGTTAAGCACTTTGCTCAATATAACGATAAACCGATTTCCAAGACAATGTTTGATAAACTGATTTTTTGTGAATAAATTTTCAGGCTTTTGAATTTAGAAGAAACTTTGTATTTTACTGCTCTTGATCTAGAATTAAATTCATTCAAAGAAAATGATGATATAAATGAGCAAGCATTATTAGACATCAATTCAAACCTTTTAAAAAACTCATTTAGCAGTAATTATCTTCCGAAAGCATAAAAGCCTTTCCCTAACCTTGACTAAACATAGATCAATAACATTATTGGAGAGACATTATAGTAGGATAAAATCTAGCAAATATACAGCAGAATCAGTTAAGTAATGTTTGATTAAACAAAAGAAGAAATAGAATAAGAGTCAAGCACTTAAGAACTCATTATATAGGAGCATAAACTAAAAGACTTTGAGAATAACTACCTGTTTAACCAATTTCATCACATTTTCGAATACAATGCAACTTACTACTCATATCTAATAGCTAAAATAAGCTCATAAAAGCTATACTTAGATAATTTCAAAGATATCTCTAGCTCGGACTATATGCTAAAATAAGAGATTAGAGATTTGTACTCTTAGGGAGCATACTTTGATTTAAAGTAATACAACAAAGTATGATATAATTCTAAATAAGAAAATACATATCATTAATGAGTTTGGAATAATATTAGCATGATGGGGTTTTGGGGTTTTGGGGTTTTGGGGTTTTGGGG